TCCCGGTGTCACGTGATAGCCCGGGGCTGCCCGCGGGGATGCGGTAGACCGCGCCCAAAGCCGCGGCCCCGGCTTGGGTCAGCGCACGCTGCCCCGACTCGGCTACCTCACGTTACCGGGGCCCTGGCTTTGGGCGCGGCTTCTGCTCATACTTTGTGGTGCGGTGGTGGTGCGTCGGGCCGCGCGCTCTGACTTCGGCCAAGAAAAATGCGTCAGCTGATCATTGTCATTTCTGCCACTTTCATGTGGTGAGATGGGGTCATAACTTTAGAGACGGCTGTTTCATATCAATTATTTTAGGTTAGGTTAGGTATATACGGAAAAGAAAGGTCCTGAGGGACCTGGGTGATTTCCGATCAGTGGCATTTCAATGTCTTCTTAGTTCCGTCTTGTTCTCAAAATTTTACATAAAAAAATTTTGAGTCTCAAATTTTACATAAAATAATATTTCAAACCATAAATTAATGTTGACAGGCAAATTAAAGAAACAATACCAATACAGGCTTACAGTTTAAATTCGACATTGTGTTGTCTACGATTAGACAGCTGATAACTCATTCCCGTACGTCGTAACTCTATAATGACCTTTGCTTATTGTCACATGTGCGCCGCATTCGTGATTGTTGCCAACGCCTGTTTGCAGGTCAGCCCACTACAGTTGTTATACATATCGAAAAACCGATAAACTTTTAGGCGAAAAAAGCACTATTTTTGGCCCATTTTTGATTTTTTGCGATATTAGCTAAAAACAGAAGCTTCTTATCCTAGGAAAAATAAAATGGGAAATCATTCAAAGGTGGCACACTACCTTTAAAGAAACCGCAAACCCAAAAACTCGCAACCCGCATGCGGGGTACAGTGTGGGGCGGCCTTTATGCGCCGCTTTGTCGAAAAAATGCCAAAATCGGCGAAATGTGATTTTCAGTTGTCTCTGGTGACCTGACCTTCGACCAGTTCGACCTAACCTTAACAATGACCTAAGTAGTTTTATAATAGTTTTTGACGCTCTTTCGAACGCCGCCTACTACGTGGCCCACAAGCTGAGTTAGAAGTGGGTGTTCAAACACCCCCAGCAGGTTCAATTAAAAAACGCATACCTACGCTAGGGGCGGTACCGCACTGCTAGGCGGGGGCGGCATCGCAATAATGGGCGGCACTGCGCCTGAGGGGTACCACTTGCATTGAGGAGTGGCATTGTACGGTGAAGGCACGGCGTCGCAAATTGAGGGGCAGTATCGCAACGAGGGGTGGCACTAACGAGGCTGCCTTATAAGAAACGCTTGGCACATCCTAGCCCAGCTCTGCGCCGCCCGTCTGCTGCATCTTGAAAAAGGCCCTTGGTGTCTATGAGAAAGCCCCATTGTCAAATAATTACCTAGCGTCAGTGGTTTCAGGAGATGGGGGGGGGGGGGGTCGCTATCGATCTTGAATGGGGCGGGGCGCCATTGATCTCGGATGGTCCGACTGGGATGTTCAAAGGGGCGCCAGTGCACTATGGTTGGAAACGGCCTCACGGATGGCCATGGGCAATTTCGGAATATATGTATATTTTGGGTGTCATTCTGTTGGAAATTGATGAAATGTTTTGAATTGGGCAGAAAAAAATATTTAGTTGCGCATTTAGTCTCCATTATCGTACGTGGAATCGGGAGTTTCTGATAGTGGCTTTTTTGGTGCGCCGTCAAAGGTTTAAACAACCGCGCTGGTGATAGCATGTTGAGTACCTCCATGACGTTGTAAAACTGGATTATTATATATCAAAATAATCCTTGTTATGTTGGCTATCGAGTGGAGTGACTCTTTTTCCCATGCGTGTTCAAAATCAGGAACGGCATTGCATTCTGTTTGCAGTGTCACCACAGCAACATTTGCAAAATTACGTTTATGTTTCATTGGACATACAAAAAGTTCTCCATCGACCTCCATTGAGCTTTTTGGCAGAATAAATCTCTGTTCAATTCTGCGTAGGGGAACGTAAAAGCAAACTGCGCACTTGTGCGCAAAATCGTCCGTGAAGCTTCATCTCCCGAGGCGTACCTACCCGTCGCTTCGTTAGCACCAGGTCGGCTCGTCAGTCGTGCAATGGCTTATCCTAATAAATGATGGTAAGAAGCAGGGTTGCTGAGTCGTGGTTGCGCCAAATCCGACTCCGACTACGACTCCGACTCCTGACTCGTTGCCATGACTCCGGGCGACTCTGTCTCCGACTCCGGACCCCTGCCAATGTTTCGGAGTCGTGATGGAGCTGTTCCGATTCGGACAGACTCCGACTTCCACTGCGGGCTCCTGACCGACCCCGACTCCGACTCCGACTCCTGGCTCGTTGCCACGACTCTGGGCGACTCTGACTCCGACTCCGACTCTGACTCCGACTCTGACCTCGACTCCGCACCCCTCGTAAGAAGTAACTGCTCGCCCCTGCACCTGGAGTATGGATATCGTGCAAACGTGTATGGATATCCTGGAGTATGGATATGGATATCCACTGACAGAACAGGCATACAGACATGCTGTAAACGCCATTACACTGCCAATACCATGGCAAATCAAATGGCTATCTATGGTTTTTGATCATCGTTCTACATTTTCCAAAATATTGAACTGAATGCTGGACCCATGCCCTAACTTCGATATATCCAATGCCCGGACCAGGCCTGTGATGTATTTATGACTACCATCGGGAATGAAATTGAAAAGTTCTCAACAATTTCTTCCAGCAGAAAAACTACTCCCATCCAGCCCTGGGTCACTCCGGCTATATTGCGTAGCATTAATACTAGAAGTAAGCTCCTGAAAAGGTTCCTTAGAGATCGTAGCTCTGAAAACGAGCTGCAATACAAGAGGTACAGAAATACTTTAAGACTGACCATGCGTCATGCAAAGAAGCAATACTTCAAAAGCAGTTCCATAAGAACAAACTTAATCCTAGGCTGTTATGGAAAGATTTACTCCTGGCTACTCAAAAATGTAAAAATAAAGCTACTCCGGCAGCAAGGTTTCTTCTTGATGATTGTGCTACCACTGATCCGCAATTAATAGCTGAGTCATTCAATGACTATTACAGTAAGGTTGCACCTAATCTTGATGCTGCCCTTGGTCCCAGTGATGTTGATCCCCTTGACTATATGGATAATTTTATTACTGATGAGCTGATGTCATTCAGTCCTGTCACTGAAGATGAAGTTATGTCCATTGTCCTAAATTTGAAGGAAACTGGAGCTGGTATTGATGGCCTTAGTGCCAAATTATTGAAGAAGATTGTATCCCAAATCATTTTGCAGCTGACACATCTGATAAATCTATGTATCTCAAGCCTGACATTCCCTGCTCCTCTGAAGATTGCAGTTATCACGCCAGTCTACAAGAACGGATCCAGATCTCTGTTTAGTAGTTACAGACCCATTTCAGTACTACCTGTTATTTCAAAAGTTTTTGAGGTTATTATGTATAACCAGCTCACGTCATTTCTTGTCAGGCATAATATTATTTATGATTATCAATTTGGCTTCAGATCCAACCATTCTACATACATGCCTATTTCAATTTTGCACCAGTTTATCACTGACAATCTCATTTCCAACAATAAGACTGTTGGTGTGTACCTTGACCTTGCTCGTGCCTTTGACACGGTTAACTTCGATATATTACTGAGAAAGCTAAAAAGATATGCCATATCTGACAATGCCGTTAGTATGATTTCTTCCTATCTGTCTGATAGAAGCCATCGAGTCAAGTTTGACCATGCCCTCTCTAGTGCAAGACAGCTATTGTGCGGAGTCCCGCAAGGTTCTGTTTTAGGACCTGTCCTATTTCTACTTTATATTAATGATCTTTATCAAGTTTGCCCCATCGCCAAATTTTTGCTCTTTGCAGATGATACGGCGGTCTTTTATTCCGCGCCGTCCAAACCTGAATTGCAAGATATGATAAACCAATCGTTTCCTAGGATTACTTCATGGCTGCATGCTAACAGGCTCTCTCTATCGATTCAGAAGACTGCATATCAGGTTTACTCTAATGACGATGCAGACATTAACATATGTATCCCTGTTTCAAAAGGTGAAATAACGCATGCCAGCACAGTAAAATACTTGGGAGTACTCATAGACGAAAATCTCAAATTTAAATCCCACATTAGCAAAGTGACAGGTATAGTTAGTCGTCAGACTGGTATCATTGGCAGAGCCAGATACCTGCTTAATAAAGAATTATCAACACTGCTTTACAACTCACTTATCCAACCTTATCTTACCTACTGCGCATGTATTTGGGGCTCTAATTATCGTACGTCTCTTCAACCAATCATCGTTGCGCAGAAACGTGCTATCCGCATTGTAGCTGGGGTTTCCCCCGGAACACATAGCTCCCCTCTCTTCAAAGAGCTCAAGCTGCTTAAGTTTGATGATCTAGTTAAATACCAACTCCTCTGCATCCTTCATGACTACCTTCGTGGGAAGCTTCCAAATATCATGGCCACTAAATTCATTTTAAGTAACCCATTGCGTGAAACACGTAGTAATCAACATTTCTCTGGGCAAGTGCTATCGCTGTCAGGTCGTGTTATACCCAACCACAGATTGCGTAATTACTATCAGTTTACTCTATTTGCCAGAGCTCCGGGAATCTGGAATAATATCATTGCTAGTAAAATACCCGACATTCATGATGTTCCATTGAGTAAGTCACTTTTCAAGAAAGTTACGAAGTTAATTTTCTTTGACCAATATTAACAAATAATTAAGTTACTTTTAAGTCATCCACCAGGCTCGTTCACACAATTTACGTTATTCATCTTAACTTTGCGTTTGTGGGCAGGGCCTCAGGAATCGTTGCAGCCCTATACCCTGTCCACAGCGCCTGATTTCATTGAACTTGGTTTACTTCACTTCTTTCTGTCAGAGTGGTCACTCGGTCTCACTTTCTATTGTAACATCCTATCTCGCCTTCTGCCTCGGCCGATGTCATGACTTGCGTTAATCACACACATCCCCGTTCTCCAGACTCCACCAGCCCGCGGCGTTGACAGCTAGTTGCGCCGCCCATCATCGGCACTCCAACCGGCGACCTGATGTGGCCGGGTCTCCGCCGCTGCGGCGCTGGCGCCCCGGTGACTGTTCCGCTGCGGCGCTGGCGATCCGGGAGTCCCGCTGCGGCGCCGGCAGTCCGGGAGTGCACCACTGCAGCACTGACAGCCCGTGGTGCTGAGCCACTGCATCGCCTGCAGCGCGGGCGTTGTACCACTGCAGGTACTGCAGCACCGGTGGCGGCGCCGTCAACGCGAGGGTTGCACCACTGCATAACCAGCAGCCCGTCAACTGTATCACTGCAGTATCGTCAGCCGTGGGGCTGAACCGCCGCAACACCGACTGCCTGAAGGATCCATCGCCGCTGCGCTGGCGGCCCGAAGGCTGTACCGTCGTGTCACCGTCAGCTCGAGGGCTGTGCCGCTGGGGCGCCGGTCGCCGTGCCGCCGTGGCGCTGTCGGTTGTTTGCTGCGCCGCCGCGGCGCCCTCGTCCGGGGGGCTGTGCCGCCGCGGCGCCGGGGGCCTGATGGCTGTACTGTCGCGGCCCCGGGGTCCGGGGGCTGTGCCGTTGCTTCACCGTCAGCCTGGGGGCTGTACTGCTGGGGCGCCGGCGACCCGGCGGCCACGCTGCCGGAGTACCATTGGCTGTGGGCTGCGCCGCCCCGCGGCACAATCATCCGAGGGCTGCGCCGCCGTGGCGCCGGCGGCCTGATGGCTTTACCGCCGTGGCGCCGACGGCCGGGCGGCTGTGCCGCCGGTCGGCGCTACGGCATGCTGGCGCCATCTACCGCCACCTACGACGGCGCCGCGGCCGTTTAATCGACGGCGCGCATGCTGGCTGGAGGTCAGCGGTACCCGTCCGAGGAGGGGCAATGCTGGCCGTTTTTCACTCTGACTTTTTGTTGTTAATGATGGCGTCACCTCCTTTACCAACCTTCACTAACAACTAACTGTCTTCTCTCTAACATTACTAATCCATCTGATCTCCTGTATCCTTGCCAGCCGGTGGCGCCATCTATCTATTCACTATTTTTGTTCGTTGACTCAAACTACATACCTTATTTGCCTATTTTTTCTGTATTGATTAATAAACCGCCGGTGGAAACCGGAAGAGAGAGGTAATTTCTCGTGACTACTTCACGACCATGATGCACGCATTTCTGAAATTGATCTTGTTTCAACCAACCACGTACTCGTATGATGAAATGAATGTCACCATCGTGTTCTACGCCCAAAAGTACCCATAAAACATGTGTCATGGGCTGCGAATAGGTACCAGTTTAAATTTTCGGGGTTATGTGCTTACCTAATTGACCTGACTTTGACCCTGGCCAGTGGCCTATGTTTGACTGACCCCTACATTGATCTGACGCTCTTTTAGCACTTATATGAAGGGTTGTAACAGTTGTGACAGATTGTTTAGGACCAACTGATGACTTAATTTATTTAGGACCAACTGATGACGATATAATCGAAACGCGTTTTGGTCCTAATGTAACTTATTTTAAATAATTGACTTTTGCCAGAAGTTGTGACAGAGTTTATGACGAGAGGCACCGATTGCGAGGTTCTAAAGTCCATGCTACTGAAAGCCCGATTTCAAGTGTTTGACCTGACCTTGACCCGACCTGTGACCTCGAAATTCAACTTTAAAGTATTCATGTGAATCGTCTCGTCGCGTTCTTCTTTCGTTTGCCGCCTCGTACGTTTCGCTGCGCCTATTTGTTTGCGAGTTATCGGATGGGGGCGTTGAACGCCCCCCCCCCGGCAAACGGCGGGTGGGGAAATACCCTAGCAACTGCTGGGTTAATCTGACGCTTTTTTGTCATTTGATCGTCATTTTATTTCTTACTTTTTTGCCGAATCTAAAAAAAAAAAATCATTAATACTTTTTCTCCAAATTTTTACCCTTTATGACCAATTGTAAGACACTGTGCGTCACTACGTTGATATTTCTCGCCCTAAAGCATAACAACAATATCCATTCAGTAATAGCAGTATTCAAACGGAGTTTTTGTATAGTTCAAACGGAGTTACGGAGTTTTTGTATATCTGTACCTGTTAGGTTAGGTCGCCAACTATCGCTATTTCAAGTACCATATGCACCTGTGTGTACAGTCAGAGATGGTCTGTTTACGAGGGCACCACGTCTGATCAATGAATATTTTAGGGCCTCGCCGACATCTGATATGTTTTTCGATGGTTTTAGCACATTCAGGAGATGTGTCGTTGACTATGTGAGAAGCCGCTAAATGTGCAGCTGCTCTTCGAGATTTTAATGATTTTGTCATTGTGTTGTATTGTATTATTATAGGTAGGACTTCGTCTTTAAATGGGGTGTCCCCGTCGACGATGAATTAAATAAACTAAAACTAAAACTAAAACATGTTCAGAATGCCTCGCGATATCGATAACATTACGAAAGACATAGGCGACTTATGGGCGCTAAAGGCTCTTGAGGGCGCTATTGATCTCCGATAGGGCGACTGTGATCTTGAGAAGAATGCGGGTGCCTTAGAGGGGCGCCAGTGGTTTCAGGGGGCGCCATCGATCTTAAATGGGGTCGATTGGGACAACTGTGAACTTCAGAGGGGCGCCAGGTGCTCTAGAGGGGCGCCATCAACCTTTAAAGGGGCGACTGTTCCGTTCAGCTGGGTGCCAGCGGCTCTTCAGGGGCGCATTCGACCCTGGGGCTCAGAATATTCTGGTTTCCGAAGGGGCGCCCCTCATAATTTGGGGCTCAGGTCCTAGTTGGGGGTGTCCTGGAGAACATTCGGGTGTCCAGGCACCGCCAAAGAGATATTGAGTTCGATCCCTGCCTTCACATCACTCTTTAATTCACGTTCCCTCTGTAAAACGGCATCAGCCTAGTCGGCGCTAACTGGGGCGCCATTTGGGCGGCTGGGCGGAAAGGGGGGGCATGCCCCCCTGAATACGCCACTGGCTCCATGTTACGATAAAAAAATCCGAACCATTTTGTTCTAGCTCTTTCATGATAAAATAACAAATTGCAACAGGTACCCGTTAACGCCTAGGACTACTTATAAATTTTTGACTGGGACTTTAAGTCCTCCAAATACCTCCCCTGCCGTTCCTGGAATTTCATTTGTCTTGTCAATTAAGGCCTAGTATGGCGTCGGCATGCCCCTATACCTGTTTCCGGTTCGCACGTCCAGTTCTGCTGACCCCTAAAGTCAGGGGACAAAAAAAGACCCGCTGGGCGCTAACGGGATAATATCTGTCGTTTTTTTTTTTAGGCGTAAGAGTAACGCGTGGCGAAAAATGCGGCTAACCCCCGTCCCCCCCCCAGCAAATCGCGGGTCAAAATTGGATATAATCGGCTTCCTATGTGTCGTGATTTGTGCCTAGCGCCGTTTAGTTTGTTACGCGCCCAGCGGTAGCGGTCAGCCGGCCGGCGAGCGGCCGGCGCGGTGGGTGCACGTGTACGGGTCGTGGGCCGTGTGCTGTGTCTATGGCCCGGGGCGGGGACCCGAGCTTATGTCAGGGCCGGCCAGGTAACGCCGGCCAGTTGATCTCTGGACCTCCTCGCGAGCGGGTACGGTACTGATACCGCCCCGGTCGCGAGTTACCTAAGTGTGGAACTACAAGTCGATTCTAGGGCTCTGATTGGTGACTTTGGTCGGGGGATGACGCTTATAGCATGACGTCACTCGCGTACTTGGCCGGACCAACGGCGCGGCGCAGGCGCGCCGAGCCAACCCAGAGGCTCTCAAACTCAATTGTACAGATCCTGCGCATTGAAGGGCGAAACTTCGGCAAGTTCGCTTGAGTTTGGAAGCCCCTGCCAGAGAACTGGAGACGGCCGGATTATTTGCTGGACAGTGGGCAGCGCAGATGGCGATTGACGGTGCCAAAAAGATGATAGGGAAAAAGGGGTTGAGACTTGAGCAGTGAATTATAAGCCTGTTGCATAGCTGAGTGGTAAATTGTGAAATACTTAAGGTTTGAAGAGATGCAGTGTAGTTTAGCCGACTCAGGGGCATTCTGCCGAGTTATGTAAGGCGGAAGGGTCGCAACTCGCAAGTCGTTTCTTTACATGATTGCCTGATTAAAATGTAAAGCGTACCTAATGTTCAGTTGATAATACAGCGAGGTTGGGCATCTGCTCAATCCATTTCTTCTCTGCAATAGTGCATTCGCCACTGTAATTCATTGTAAGAGGCACTGGGCTGCGCCGCCTGTTAATTATTCCGAAACCACCAGTGAATTGTCACAGTCACTCACAACAATGCGAATCGTTCAGTCGTGCGCTGGGGGTCCGCCAAGTTTGAGTGTGCTGCAGAATGCAGACTGGACCGCCGAGAATATAACACTTCCGTCTCCCTGGGCGAGCGGCGCATTGGAGCCGAAAGAAACTGCTTCAGTTTTTTTTTTGTGGGGAAGATACCCATGTTTGAAAATTATGTTCTGGAATGATGCGATAAGGAAAAGGACGGTTTCTTGATTTGAGGGCTGTGGAGAAGAAGCAGATTTTCTCATTTGCTACCCGATGCAACGCGAAACGACGCAAATGTTGCACATTGGGCTTAAGAAGTCTAATAAAAGATAAGGGACTTCGTGAATCATGCGTAACTGACCGCGACCCAGTTATTTGCCACTGCAGGTAGGTCTAGGTAGGTAGATACTCATTTGTAAACAGAGCGTTCCACCAACCCTCGCCAGAAATTCAATCAGCAGTTGCTTATCTTAAAACGTTTGAGTGCACCTAACAACCTTTAAAAATGACGTCCTCCCTTTCAATGGTTCGTTCGAAGACACAAAGCCAGAATCAGCCAAGCAATATCGGAATCCATTGCGCAGTGTGTCGACTGTCGGATGTGCCCATCCACATAGCATATAGCACACACTGCTAAATGCAGGTACGCTCACCTACACATTAGGCATTCGAAGGACTTGATAGCTCATACACATGGAAGAAACGCATGAAATGTGATTAATAGCTGCAGCAGAAGTTTGGCGTCCAATGCCTCTTCGCCAAGTTAAGACCATGCCAATCTCGGCCAGTCTGCCGCCGCGCCGGCACTGGCCGTGGTGTGACGTCATCCGGCCGGCTCGGCGCTGGGTAGTTCCACACTTAGGTAACTCGCGCCCCGGTCTGTGAGGCAAGGGCCGGCGTATCAACTCGGGCTCCGGGCGGAATCGGTTTAGCTACCGGTCCACTGCACCCCGGTGTCGGCGAAATTAAACACTGGCAAATAACTTAAACTATCAATGTCCCCACTTGAATATTACGATGTATTGATCTCGATGTAAGGTCCGCTGGTTTAGTTTGCCTCGTTTGGGTCGCTTCAATTAGGCATAGTGTGAGCCTCGTCATATCTGTTTGCTCAGTTGTATGCAATAGGGGAGAGTGGGGCACATTCGTGCATGGGGCACATTCGTTTTCAGCAGTTTATGGGAACACGAGTGACTGCACGAGCTCAAGGTAAATTATGGAAATATGTCTATCATTGCCGCCCTTCGTTCACCGTAGAAGACAACACTGTACCTGCTGTCATGCTTGATAAAAACGCAAATTTGTAATATTCGTGAGCTTTCCAAACTTTTCTCATATCATCCATTTTCGTGATCCTGACTCGGAAATGTGGTTCAGCTTTTCAAAATTGGGGGTGAAGAAGCCCACTCTATTCACGGAACTGCTGCAAACTTGTTTGTTGAAAAAGTGTCATTTTTTCAAAAAGAAATTTTGAAATATATTACTAATAACGTTGTGGGGCAGGTTCGTGTACGCACTGCCTGGGGGCACATTCGTGCATATTTTTTTAGTTTTTGCGATTTATGACTTTATCTGTAGTAGGTTTCTCTAATGACGCTCGCCTGACTCAATCTCGACTGCTTGCGACGTCGTGACGAGCAATTCACGCGAACTTGGCGAGGTCACGGAGGCCGGCAGTTGGCACATTCTTGTTGGCCAGCCCATTCTTTCTACATTTGTTGTGCAATGCATTCTTGTCGAAAGGAATCAAGTGAAATGACCCCCTGCCAATTTCCTTTGGTAAATTTCTGGTAATGCCCGGTAATTTCTCGAATTTTGCCGGGTGAACGGAAGTGCCCCATCTCTTGAACGAATGTGCCCCATAGGTGGGGCAGTTTCGTGCAAA